TTGGGAATTCGGGAGCTTGGGAATTCGGAAACTTGGGAATTCGGGAGCTTGAGAATTCGGAAACTTGGGAATTTGGAAGCTTGGGAATTTGGAAACTTGGGATTTTGGAAACTTGGAAATTTGGGAGCTTGAGAATTTGAGGACCTGGGAATTCGGGAGCTTGGAAAGCTCGTGAATATTTACAATATAATGTGTAAAAATATATATGTATCAAATATTTAAAAAAAGTAGACGCATCTAGGTCGTTTTCCAATTCTCAGAAAATTTCATGAAAATAAAAGCAACGTAAGCGGCACGATCTAGCACTTTTGTCGCCGTATGAAAACGAGGCTAGAAGAAACATCATCATCATCATCGTGGTCATAGTGGTGATGTCCATCATCATCGACATAATCATGCGCATCATGGTGTCCACCACCACCATCACCATTACCACCATCATGTGTCTCATTCGATTGATGATGGTCTGCGTTGCATGATTCTGGGTTACTTTGCCATTCTGTTTCACGATAGTGCCTGGAACGTTTCTTCTTTGCTGTCTCTTCGAAATCGTGGCTGTTTCTTCGCTCAAACGTTTACTCGCCATGGATGTTGTTTTGGGTGTTCTAATACGGACCATGTGTGCGTATATCACTGATAACATGTGTTAGTAGCGACACCAGCTTACAACTGGTTTTCTGGAGGTACTATTTTTGAAGTACGAGAATACGGTAGCTTGGTCAGACTGGAGGATACTTCTACTTTGACAGAAATCGCAGAGGTAAACTTCTAACGTTCATATGTAATTTTTATGTTCTTTATGAATAGAGATCTTACTTGTTCTTTATAGAGATCGTTGCAGCGCGTTCTACTTTAAATTATTTCCATTGCTATTTAAAATAGAAGAAGTACTATACATAACTTACGTTATTAATTTTTTTATTTGTGATAGCAGTGAAAATAATTTAGGTGTCCTTATATGGGGATTGTGTATAACAATACAATTATAATGATTAATACATATAGCAACTCTGATAATGTGGTTTAGGTGGTAATTGTGTTTGCAAGATATAAGAACTATTTTTATTTGTACAACACGTATTCAGGTACATTCTAGAATTAAATCCACAAATTAGAAAACAAATCTGCCGCTTCTATTCGACGCATGCGTATTTAATTCACTTTTGAAAGCCACTCGAAACTCACCCTTAAGAAGTGCATAAAACTGTGTACATTTATACCCTGTGATTTCATTCGCTAAACAATAACTGATCATTTCTATTCTTCATAAATGATTTGATTGACTACCCACATGCCCTCCATAGCTTCTCGCGCAAGTTTTACTACAAAATGGGCGCATAACCTAGGTTATTGCACATTAAATGATTTCGTAGAAAGTCCAGCACAATCTGATAATATAAAAGTACTATAAAATTACACTTATATGTTAATTCAAAGCTTAAAGTTTCGTGAAAATGACTGTCTAAATATTTGATTTATGTCTTCGATATAAAATGGCTGATTACCAAATATAATAATACCTGATTTCGAAATGTAGAAAGTCGGACACAATTCCACGACATAAAAGTACCATAAAAATTAATTTCTCCATGTGAATTTAGAGCTTAAAGATCAAAATAATTTCGCAAACTTTTTACAGAATCATATCATATTTTAGAGAATGTTTAAAGAATTTAGAGAATGAGAATTTCCGTGGAACAAAGAATCGTAAGAAACAATCCGAAAAGGGCAAATACCGATCGATCGCATGATTTATTGTCACGGTCAGAAATAAACGTCCGAGCGATTGATCTTTTTGCATCCACTCTACAGGAAGAACGTGAATTTCTCGAATCCCTCTGCCAGCTGACAGACGAGTTTCTACCTCGTCTTTTTTTTTGCAACTCTCTGACGACGTAATGATGGACCGTACTTCACGGTAAACCGCAACAGCTCAAATTCGTCGACCTAATTTCGAACCAACCGGATCGGAAATTTCACATTTACTTGCAATATATTTGGTTCCCACCTCCATTTAACACTCTGACGGCTGCACATTTCGCACGATTTATTACGATTAATTTTATGCGCTTGTTTGTACTTAATGGACGATTATTGTTAAAATTGTGGTTGAGAGTTTTGCCGGTTGTTGTAGCAAAAATGTTCAAGGAACATTAACGATTTTATTGATAAGCATATGAATGATTTTCTACTTTGTATTATATTAATTTAGATAGCTTTCTAAGTGGATTTCTAAATTTTTTAAGATAGCTAATTTGTTACTGTACATGTTCAAGGTTGCAAATTTTCAAATTTATATATCTTCTATCTTTTCCATATATTTCTATACTTTTCTAGATTCCTAAATCCTTACATTTCTGGATATCTCAATTTGTAAAATCTCTAGATCTTTAGATAACAAGTGTCAAGATTCTCAAATTAATAATCTACAGAACTTCCAAATCCCCAAATTTCGAAATTTGATAATCCCTAAATTCCTAGGTCTATGGATTCCTAGATCCTTGGGTCCCTAGATCCTTAGCGCCCTAGATCTCCAAATCCCTAGATCCCCAAATCGCTAGATCACCAAATCCCTAGATCCCCAAATCTCTAGATTCCCAAATCTCTAGATCACCAAATCCCTAGATCCCCGAATCCCTAGATCCCCAAATCTCTGGATCACCAAATCCCTAGATCCGCAAATCCCTAGATCTCCAAATCCCTATATCCCCATATCCCTAGATCCCCAAATCTCTAGATCACCAAATCTCTAGGTCACCAAATCCCTAAATCCCCAAATCTCTAGATCTCCAAATCTCTAGATCCCCAAATCGCTAAATTACCAAATCCCTAGATCCCCAAATCTTTAGATCACCAAATTCCTAGATTCCCAAATCTCTAGATTACTAAATCCCTAGGTCCCCAAATCTCTGGATCACCAAATCCCTAGAACCCCACATCTCTAGATCCCCAAATCTCTAGATCCCCGAATCTCTAGATCCCCGAATCTCTAGATCCCCAAATCCCTAGATCTCTATATCCCTATATTCCCAAATCCCTAGATCCCTAAATTTCTAGATCACCAAATCTCTAGATACCTAAATCCCCAAATTCCAAAATTTCAATCTCCCCAAATCCCCAAATCTAAAGATCGTCAACTCCTCGAATCCCAAATCTCTAAATTCTAAAATCCCTACCCCAAAATCTCCAAATCCGCAAATTTCCAAATTCTCATAACATATACCTCTCGAGCAAACGTTTAACGGTACAACCTTCTTTCCATATCTCCGTTTTTTTATCAGAATTTCTGCAACTCCCTACAGACCCCCTGTACTCCCTGTACGTCTGCCACTAATTCATATTCCATATGGCGTATCAATAACCGCTATTGATTTTGCAATTAACATTGTAGCCTCCGACAGTTACAAAACGATGATACGGCTAACGGGATATCGCCCTTTGAAGAAAGTCAACAGTTCGAAATCGGTCACTGCTCGATAGCCGTGCATGCACGTTTCATCATTTCATCGTGATCACGGACGACCCTTCCCCGGCAGAAGTCACCGTAGATCGTTTTTCATTTCATGGATTTCAGACACGTCCGATGCAGACAGGCATCGGAATCGTCTCTAATATCGTTGCAAGAATCTTCGAACAATTTGAATGGGTTTAAGATTAGCCTTTCACGTCGATCGGTGATAGAGTACCGATTTCTAGACACTGTTTCATAAATATTGTAACGAAAGGAAAGTCGGACGATTAATCTCGTTTTCTGTGCGTCATTCTATTAAATCGTCTTTTCACCCATGGACTCTCTGTTAACTAATTTCGAATTATTTCATCGAGTTTATTTAATCGACTGAAACATCCAAGTATATGAATTAGCTATCTCGAAATCGCATAATGCAAGTTTCCCTGGAATTAATTACACGCTCGGCGTGCTATCGTTAATTATATCATTTATTCGATACATGATCCTTTTGTTGCGAAATAGAAAAAATGAAAATACTCTTCGCTGGCGTATAATTCATAGAAACTGGCCTATAATTCATAGAACGTGCTAATCGAGGGGTAACAGTATCATCTTTCAATTCGCGTAATTCTTAACGACGTTATTATACGTTTGGTCCATGATAATCTCGTTTTCTAAATTTTGCTACATCAGTTTTCTCCTATATTGTTCGTTACAATCAAACGCTTTATGATCTTGTTCCGTTAAAACCGCCGATAAATTATCGAAATCTCTGTACCGAATCTACGGACGAATTCCTCCAGCGAAAGTTACGCGTGTCACTCTACTGACCCAAAAGGCCAAAGAGAGTGGAGTTAATTAACATGAACGATTCCAGTAACCGGTTTGTTTTCTTTGTAATTTTTATTTCTTACCAATACAAGTTCACATATATTGTTTAACTTTCCCTTTATTCAGCACCAATATTATAATATATAATTTATTCAATGACTTTTCACGTCTGTGCAAATTATATTATATTTCAAGATCACTGTCAAGGTCATTTATAGCATTGTCTTTCAGTTCCACACCGATACAAGCTCTACAAGTCTACAATGTTATACAATGACTTTTCACAATAATCTGTGTAAATATTATATTTAAAGATCACTGTCAAGGTCATCTGTAGCATTGTCTTTCAGTTCCATACTGATACAATACTGTAAATTTACAACATTATATAATTGTCTTCTGGATGAGTTAATGTGGGTAACAGTTGTCTACTGCTATTTTTATTAACATGTCTAAAAGTGAAGTAATGAATTTTTTTTTAAATTTAAAAAGACGAAGTATCACAAAAGGTAATATTTACGACAATTTAACTTATACTTTAAGAATCTCAATTTTAAAGTTAAGATTCTTTAACAAGATGTTCAGGATGGACTTCAGGGTTGTTACCTTGAAGTAGTCTGTTGACTTGAGACAGTTTCACCCTGACTCAATTACTAGTTTCAATCACTGGTTCAACAAAAACGGTGTTTATAATTAAATCATTGTAAACGTGTTGCAGCCAGCAATGAGCAGAACGACAAGGACAGCCTGAACGAGATGGGCAGCACAACGGGTGGCACAGTGGAGGGTGCACCTGGAGGTGCTCCTAACAGGGGCGAGAGGAACCCCGAAAACGAGGCTACAACCGTCGAGATGACGAGGACCTCGGTTCCTTCTAGGTCTTTGGTCTCCAGGTTTTTATCCAGGACACGCTCCACAAACGATCTGTTGGACCACTCCGAACCCTTGTAAGAATTTGGGTTATCGAACGGATGCATGATTTATGCAGCATGCTGGAGTAATAATTAAATCGTAACTCTTTCGAGAAACGGTGCAATTTGCTTGCAGGGAGAAATGCTTGATTTTTATTGCGTATGCATCACGTTCAAAGTACATTTTTATATCTTTTGCAGTTCGCAACTATGGATCGTTTTATCGAACGTTTACGGTCAGCTTGTCATCGTGCTGATGATTGCTCTGTGTTTGGCCGAGGTCATGGACACGCCTGTTCCTCTACTCAGTCTTCAAGTAAGTTTATTTTTAGTAAATAGATTTTTTAGTAAGTTTTCAGTAATTGTATTATTAGAAAAGCGGTTGTCAAAATTATCTTGCATCCTTTTGAGGTCATAGTCATTCTTGATTCGAAATACAACAAAAATGTAATATCCTTGACTGTGATCTTCGACATTGAACATGTGCGAAGTCGGTAACGGAAAGTAATAAACAGAATGTTATAAGATTTCTATTCAAGCACATTTCAAGAATATTCCTTCGAGAAATATTGCAAGCTAAAATGTGTTTGCTTCTTGAATTATAAAGGTGTAAATTATACCTGAATTATAAACTATAAAATTAGAATTGTACATCTGATTGCTATGACCCGGTTGCAATAAAAACAAAACTATCATCCGTTATACAGTATTAAATATTAAAAATTAATCTACGTTACAAAAATAATAAATTTCACAAATATTTATGAACAAGTCGTTAATTTTTAAATAAACTTTGATCGCTATAATAAGTACACATAAAATATGTACAACTCTGTATTGTCTATCAAACCGGAAATTGAATTTGTCCACACTTTTCACAGTACATTACCGTCAACAAAAACAAGTAAGAAATTCAATTCGCTGATTCATCAAAGACATATTTGCCGAGTTTGAAAAGTTCGCAATATGCTCGTTCCTATCTCAGGGACAAAAACTAGGCGCCAAAAGGTGTTTGATCCGTAAAACGTTGAATATTATAGTAGAGAGGATGTCTCGTAAAATGGTGTTGCACGTTCGGTAATATTTCATCGTGCACTCGAGAAACGGTTATCATAATCAGTTAAACAAAATGCTGGCGCATTGCACGTGCACTTTAACTTTCGCGTGCATATCCATTCGACGTCGGGTGAAAAATTCATTTTCTTTTTCGCTCTGTGAACTTTACGAGCGTTTCGTTGTAAATTTTTTTCGGAATCTCCATAGTGTATAACGGTATGATTCACAGGTGTGCAATCTAACTGTTGTAAAAGGCGAATATTAATGTACACTCGCTTTGAATTAAAAACTTCCTGAATTTTATAAGCTCTTAATTTTCTAATTTTCAAGAATTCAAGACTTTTAACTTTTTCACAGAATTATTCAAAGTATCGAAGTTTTCTTAAAAATTTTTATTACAAAATCTTTAAATTTCGACTTGCTTAACTTTTTCATAGAATTATCCAAAATATCCAAGTTTTCTTAAATATTTCTATTATCAAATTGTTTAATTCTGAAGTCTTCATATTTCTGAAAGTTCCAAATTCGCGACCATAATTTTACACCGTAATTTGCATGAAATTGGCAATTCTGTGCTATTAAAAAGCTAATTCGTTATTTATTGGACACCTAAATTGTTTACCGCGTAAATTCCTCAATCGTTAGGAATCGTTCCATTAAGTGTCATATGGTCGCAACCGTAATTACCATTATGCGTTGAAACACAGAGATATATCAACGTTGACCGTGAAAGAGCATTAAAAGGTAAGAAAAGCGAACAGCTGGCGGTATTCCGATCGTTTCCTTTCCAACGGCACATGTAATTATGTATGGATCAACTTGAATCGAGATGCTGTTGGGTCACGGTAACCGTAATTTCAAGAATCAAAGCTGCGATTCGCGAGCTAATTCAGGCATCTAGCGCACTCGAGTACCAACGCGAACTCGTTAACACGTTCCGTGCCAAGCCATTTTTACCTGACTTGTCGTTCAGGCCATTTGATATTTTCAATAAAAATTGATATATTATCACACAATAATTTCATTGATACTGACCTAACCCAATGCTGACCTAACCTAATGTTGACTTAACCTAATGCTGATCTAACCTAATGCTGACCTAATCTAATGCTGATCTAACTTGATGCTGACCTAACCTAATGGTGCCCTAACCTGATGCTGACCTAACCTAATGCTGACCTAACTTGATGCTGACCTAACCTGATGGTGACCCAACCTGATAGTGACCTAACGTAATGGTAGCCTAACATGATGCTGATCTAACTTGATGGTTAGGTTGGGCTGAAGATCAAATTTAACGTGTACCACCAGTGGTATACATGGCACGGAACGTGTTAAGCATTTCCCAAATATTATGGCTTTTTATCGATTGCAAATCGAAACCTTTGTTTTTAAATTGTATTTAAAAAACATCTTTGATAACTTTTCAAAATGAAAAAATTTCCAAATTCTTGAGTTACATATTCGTTGCAATTGTTCTCCATTGCAGGGAGTGTTCCTGATGTACCTGTACGTTGGAAGCATAGCGGTGATCATCAGTATCTATATTTGGGTGTTAGTGGACAGCTGTGGAAGTCTCGGTACCGGTGCAGCTGGCGTCGACGACGCTGAACTCGGTGGTGCATCCTTAACCAGGTTCGGCTCGTTGAAACGTGCTCACATCTCGCGATCTAGAACAGCACCGACGAGTTTTTACATTCGTGTCGGAGCGCTCCGTAAGTTTCTAAAAGCAGCACACTAGATTTCCGTTATGGGAGTGAAAAAACGGTATTGAAAAACAACGTTTGTTCAGTATTCGGTTTGGCAACACTCGTATTCAATGGTTTGGAAATGGCGATGCACTCGATGATGCAAGGCGCTGAATGCTTGAGCGACGTGGTTTTCGTGCATCCGGTGCTTCATGGACTTTTCACGTTCTTGCAGATGCACTTTCTGTTCGTAAATTCACAGGTGAGTTATAAAAAATGGATGAATAATTCTTTAAAATTGTATTTGAACGTATTGAAGAATAACCTGACCAAAGACATGCATGAGACTTATGAGATATAAGATCTATCGTTATAAAATGAAAGAACATTTCCTAGTCTATGATATATCTTTGTGATGACCTGGAACATTTCATATAAAACACTCGAACAATTGTATAATCACAGTTTGTTATGAAACATTGTTAAGTACATATTTAAGTATATACGACCTGAAATTATTAAAAACTTTGTTGAAGAGGAAGGTATAGATGACAACAATGGTAATGTTCCAATTACAGGTGCTAGTAGAAAGATTTGGACTAGCAGCGAGGTTCGGGTTCATTCACCTGGCAGCGACGAACATCGCGGTTTGGGTTCGGTTAGTAATCTGGGACTCCGCTCAAGAATGGACATACTTCGTTCATCTGGCGCAACGTGGTTTGCACAACTCTGTGACTCCGTTGAATCTTCGAGGCTTTCCAGAGTCGCTGATCAGACATACTCGAGATTTGATAGGTTTGTCTTATCACTAGCTTCACCTAAAATATCAGATACTCTGATGTGAAGGATAAAATTATATTATCATTTTTTCAGAACATCCCTCAAACGAGAAAGAAATATACCAACCGTATCAACCGATTTCGAACGAGCAGATCTCTCAAGTGATCGCCTTACAAGAATGCTTAAACACCAACACTCTGGGTCAGTTGTGGACATCGAGTATGCCATTTCTTTACCCGTTTATCGTGCAGTTCAGGTAAATGTGAATTATTTCAGTAACTCTGAGAACTCTTGTAACATTGTTTAATTTCAGTTTGATCGCTGCTGCCGTGACTTTCGTGATGGGTCAGAATGTGGGTAAGAGTCGGTTGATGCACAAGCAGAAGTTCCACGGTAGCAAGGATGTGGCTAGTCACACCAAAGTGGGCTGCGACGGTTCCAGCAAAGGTTTATTTCTGGGCATACTCTGCATGGTTGCTGTCATAGTGGTGATACTGATCTTCCTGGTCGTCAGAGAAGACGAACACTTTCCTTCTGCCACGTTGTCCTGGTTGACCTGCGGCACCTTGACGAGTATTTTAACTCTGAGTACTTTGATGACTGCCAGCGGTCTCGTTCAAATTCGTCAGATGTCCGTAGTGAGCAGAGCACCGGCAGCGTTGGACAGTTTGTTATCGAACGTGGCCTTGTTCGGGGTGCAATTGTACTCCATTTTCACGATCGTGGTTTGTGCTTGTTCGCTGGTCCTCCTGGACGATGAGTACGAGACTCGCGGGAGACATATCATGCTGCTCATCGCGTCCATACTGCAACTGGTCCAGTGTTTCGCTCAGAGTACTCTGATAGCAGAGGCGTCGAAGAGATCTTGCATAACCGATTTCCAGATACTAGAGAAACCGGCCAGGCAAGTGATCACTTTCCTGCTGTTCAGCAACTCCGTCCTGTGGGCCTTCGACACGGTGATTACGCAGAATTGGATCTCGCAAGAACTGCAGTTGAGATTCTTCGGAGTGCTTGCCTGGGGAGTCATATCCAGGGTCGGACTGCCGTTACTGATCTTCTATCGATTCCACAGCTGCGTTTTACTCTTGGAAGCATGGAACAAGTGTTATAGAATGCCAAGAGGAGAGCATCCGCTCAACTGACGACACAGAACGCTGCACCCATGTTCCTCTAGGTTTGTATTCATACTTCTTGTGAAAGTTATAACTTGGCATACCCTGTGGGCCGGGTGTGAATGCACTGTGATTTAATACGTGGTAATACGATTCCTGATCTTAAATAGTGAAATCGGTCATTTATATATAACAATTTAGCAAATATACTGAAATGATTTATATCTATTTTGTGCTAATGTTTTTCAGATTGCAGCCGAGATCGCACCGCTCCTATTGCCACAGAAAGCTGACGATTAATCTGGACCAGGACAACGAATGGTCCCCCACGATCCAGAGATCCCCAAAGAGATTATTCAGCCCGAATTTGTGGACAATGAATTCGGTGCATTTCGTTCCTTTCGTCGACAATCGGCTCTATTTCGACCCGAACTCTTTGTTTCGCATTACGTCAGTGCCTGTGGATCCGCTGAACTTGGAGCACACCGTACAACCGTCCAGAAGAAAGTTGCATCGTCATCATCATCATCATCATCATCATCACCATCATCATCATCGTCGTCATCAGAAGAGGCACCGACGCGTGGTCAGTGATCCGGGCATACGAAATTGGAACACCGGTGATCAAGAAGTGAAACGACATCGTAGAATTTTTAGCTACGACACCGGTATCACTGGACTGAGATTGGTGGAGACACCGGTAGCCGAGGCTGACAAGGAGGTTCTATCAGCTGACGAGACGAAAACGTCGACATTCAGGAAAGTGCCATGGCATCCGAACTTGCACATGCTCAAAATCAGAAGAACGTAGCACGCTAAAATGACGTGGGTCGTTAGAACGATTCGACGTTGAGCACGTATTTCTTTCGAACATTTGGACGAGTTGATCGTTTTGTTATACGCTTTTCACTTTTCAAACGTAACGGGGTGGAATGGAGTCAAATTATTCAATTCGAGTCAATTGTAATATAAAACTTATAGAATTTTCAAATCCCTGATTCCCCAGTTTAAGGAGTTCATCTACTATAAACAACGAATTTGATCTATTAGGTCGCCAGACGTTAGATCACGCCACGGTATATCACCGTATGTACCTGTAATAGATGAATATTATATGTAACTGTATTTTCCAGAGTCACTCCAATATGGTGAGTCATTATTTTTATATCAATCCGTGGTCAGTTATAGCTTAGTCACAGCGATTGTTTCATAAAGATTGAAAATCGGGATGTAGGTGAAAAATGTAAGAAGAGAATCGTTGAGTTTTGTGGAGGCAGGTAGTTGTTACTAGAATAATTCTGCGAGTATCAAAACGTAACAATTATCCCTAAGAGTACAGTACCTTTTTTATCATTTTACGTGCAATATTATCGTTTGTAAGAAAGTTACACGTAGGAATTTATTTATTGTGCAAGTCATGCAGATAGTGCGTTAACTATTAGCCATCAAGGTTGCGTTACTCTTTAAGTCGTTGGATATAAGAGACACAACGATGCAGCTCCGTCTTTTTTAATTTTTTTTTTGTTCTTTTAAAGCAGAACTATGTGATCATCGTTAAACGAACAATACTATTTTTTGTATATATTTATTACGATTGTTCTGTGGTGAATAAGAACTGCTGATATTTATACAGAACTATATGATGTATTTATTGAAATCACGGTACATCGTATGGTAGTTTATGCTTTCGACAAGTACATTAAAAGCGATGTATTGTTTGTTGGATGCCCAACTAATATTATCCATTCGATGTTCATGAAATTATAATAAAACTTTTCTCGTTACGAATCGAATACTTTCTTTAACACATAATATATTTTTTACTAAATATAATTAAGCGAAAAGCAACATGTATCATTCATGGCACCTAATCCGTCAAAAACATGCTGTATCACTCTACAAATATATACAATTTATATTTTCCGTGCTGTTTAAAATTAACAATCATTAATCATTTGATATTAACAACTAATTTCATTCATACGTAATTCTTTTCAGCATTGAAATATTGTTTGAAGATCTTTAACATGTTAAGAATACAATATCTCGATCGAGGCGAATTGGACAAAACGTTTACAATATGTACGTAAAACGCTTAACCTAATAACGTGATGCTGAATCTAGCGTTGAATAAGAAAACTTAAAAAAACAATAAAACTTTCCTTCGAGAAACTGACTTTATCACATTGGTAGTTAACCAATCAGTAAAGTTGTATATACGAAATAAAATTAAAAAGAAATCACACATATTACACAACGGTGCAATAAAAATAAATCTTGCTATTAGTTATTCCAGTGATGGGCAAATGCACTCTTGAAAGGCACTTGCAAGCGATATGTTCTTGCAGGTATCGATGGGCAGTGAATTTTCCAGTGAAAAAATTGTAGAATCTTTAATTTATAGACTTTTAAGATCTATATTTGTGTGGAAACATTACTACGCGTGCCGTATACTTTATCTACCCATCACTGACCTATCTAATACAACAAACAACTAAACGTGAAAGCTTACTTAAAAGCACAAAAACAGTAAAAAAAAAAAATTCTCTCTACACAACAGAAATGAACAATTTCAAAACAGAATCCAAGGAACACATTAATCAACAACGAAGAATTTATTTGAAGGTTTATCTAACGCAACACGAATATTAATATATGTATAATATTTTATATTTAAAATATGATTCTCACCTCAAGATACATTATAAAGAATTCCTATTCTATATAGTAATATGATTCTGTTTTCTCTCGAAACAATCTCAAATCTAATAAATTCTTTTCAAAATATAGCTCGTAGGAATAAGGATATTTTTTCTATGCGTCAGTTTACAATTCTTTTCCTCGGTGAAAGAATATCGCGTCAGAAAAAGTTAGCGAGAATATCGTACGAGGATAAAACGAGGAAAAATTTCATGGACGAACGATGATTCAATCAAGGCCAACGTCTGATTGTTCGGTGGTTGGTTGTGTACCCCCTTCAGCACTTGGGAAATTGGGCATTCCTCCGGGCATGCCCGGGAAACCACCGCCACCTGTAGCACCAAATTTCCCAGCCATCTTGTTGATGAACGCCATAATCTTTGGATTGCTCTGGTACTTCAAGATCGATGCTGGATTCGACGAAATCTCCTTACAGAACTCGGCTATTTCGGGATCCTGCAAATTTAAGAACAATTAGAAGTGGACTCTCGCTATATTGTCATGAATAAAACTATAAATTGAACCACATAATTCTAAACAAAATTTCATGAGAAGGTAGTGAAGAGATTACCATAAGAGCTTGAAGAACCTCAGCATCGTCTAAGAATTTACAGAAATCAGGCATTCCAGAAGCAGTTCCAGTCGTATCAGTTTGTGAAGTACGCGTATTTTCTTGGAAGGCCTTCGCGCTTTCTTGAGCTTTCCTTATTCTTTCCTGCTTTTCGCGTTCCAACTTCTCTTGCACCTTACGCTCTTTCTTCCTCTTGTGTTCCTCGATCCTTCGGGCCTGAAACCGATAATGTTACATTAATATATGAACGGCGGAAGCGGAAATCTTTGTTATAAAATGAGATTAACAGGAAAAAAGATTCTCTATATAAACGAAGTTTACTGGCCAATTTGGCTGCTTCGTGATCTATAATAAGCCTGTAATCGTATGAGGTCACAATGTGTCTTGGACAGACGTGTTTCACGTCATTATGATTTAGTATTTGGACAGATTCCTGATACTGTACAAAGAGTTGTACTTTTCACAGTATCGGGAAATTTCGATAGGGAATTTTATTCGATCGAATTAAATTAAAATTGTTGAGTATACGTGGTTTGAACGCAACATGTGATGCTATAATTATAATTATGCACAATACTCTCACTTTTCAGTTCTTGATTCAGCTCTCAATTCAATTTTCAGTCCGTTCTACATTTTAAATATTTAACGAGACAAGTTCCTTGAATATTGTACTACAATACCAGAAACTATCAAATTCACCTGATATAATTAAACCGCGCACACAATGTATAAATGTGTACCTACGTTACGTATAATAAAATGTACATTTTTCGGATCATTCAATAGTAAAATTTCTATTTAGTTTTGAGTATGTAATAATTAAAAAAAAATAGTTAATGAGTAGTATTGGTGGTTAAAGTGTTAATATAAATTTATAAACTATATAAATTAAAAACTATCATTCGAATGGTGCTCATATTCGCGGGCGCTCGTTCGTAAGTCTTCGTGCAGTTCCGTACTTCAACGAACGCTGCGAGTCTGCAGCAACGCGAAGGCAAGATAGCGACAGAAAAAATTAATTATGCGAATTAGTAGATATAATCAAGCCATTTGAACAGATATTATTGCTACATCAATTTCAGGTGCCTCAACGATAAATTGAGCTTACATGAATTCCATCAAAAATAAATCATATGCAGGTACTTGCATGTACAAATATAAATTCGAGTAGAAGTTTAATATGAACTTTCTTGTTTAGGAAGAGTAAAAAGTACTGCATACAAAGAAGTATGTGAGAAGTATAATACGAATAAGTGTCAGAAATGCTGTATTAGATAATCGCAAGTATTGATGTTTCTAAGTGACGTTAAGTTGTATTTAAAAGATAGGAGGAGGTCAAGTGCTCGTGTGCAGCGAATAAGATGTTGCAGATAAGAAGAAAGGACAAGAAGAAGCGACGGGAGATAGCGGCGGAGAGAGCTAGCAAGCGCAAGAACTTTTGCACGAGGGAGCACCACCTTATACGGCGGCGACCCGGGCTTCTAAATATAAAGGCGCCCGTCGTCCCGACGCTCCTCTCTGTCCGAGCGCACGCATTTCGCCGCGAATCTCTTCTCTTTGCTACACGCTTCGCAGACAAGCTTGCTCGCGATAAGAGGCAGCTGGAATTTTGCTAATATTACTTCACGCGAACGTTGGGAGAGGGTGCGGTGGTATCACAATACCCGCCATATTAATTTCTAAAACGGTAAAACAATCATACATACAAATTCTAAATTATGAAAAAGTACTTTGAGTAATTTTCAAATTTTTCACCAGGATATCACTAATATCTAAGAGCAAATTATTTGCACTCACTCAAATCTGGAGAATAGCGTTTGACAACGTTCAATAACGTAATAAAGAATTTTGAGGTAAAAATAAATGTTAAGTAGCATTGGAGAATTGTATTTCTGAATCGTTTGAGAAATGTTTGTTTGACAGTACTATTTTTACTGAATGGTCCGCTACAGCAGCCATTAAAATATCGAGATACGGGCTATGTAATTTAGAGACAGACTATTGTTTCATGTATTCTTATCAATGTACTTAATTGCTAAACAAAACTGCAACATTTTGCGTATGCGAACATTCTTGCTTGCACGACTATATTCATAAAGCTTCTAATATGCAAGTTGCAAGCAATGGTATAAGTTTCAAATTGTTTTAACCAAACAATCAATGCATACTGCTACAGAACAATACACTTCCGGTTAACAGTACAGCTCAATAGCAGCAGCTACACATATACAAATTCTTTTCAATGATGTCTTCAGCGATTTCCATGGCGACCTTGTCCTCGTATCACTCATTTATTTTCAGAACCGAATAACCGTGGTTCTCATAACTGTCTATATTAAACCTGACCAGTGACATTCGTTAGATGTCCTTATTCTTTGTTGGAATAAAAAGAAATTCATATGATTGTTCTTGTTTCTAATTTCTACACCATCAAATCCTTCTATGGATTTCTACATTCTCAAATTTTATTACCACCGAGGGATATAGTTGAAGTCCTATGTCCTTAGATTGTTGTAGCCCCGATTTCTGTATTTTTAGGTTACTGCAAACCCCGATCCCTACATCTCTAGTTTTCTGTATCTCCCAATACCTATATACCTAAATTGCTATATCTTCCAATACCTACATCCCTAGATTGCTATATCCCCGACCCCTACATCCCCAGATTGCTATATTCCCCAATACCTATGTGTCTAGATTGCTATATTCCCCAATACCTACATCCCTAGATTGCTATATCCCCCAACACCTACATCCCTAGATTGCTATATCCCCGACCCCTACATCCCCAGATTGCTATATTCCCCAATACCTATGTGTCTAGATTGCTATATCCCCCAACACCTACATCCCTAGATTGCTATATCCCCCAATACCTATATCCTTAGATTCCTATATCCCCCAATACCCACATCCCTAGATTATCCCCCAATACCCACATCCCTAGATTATCCCCCAATTTCTACATCCCCAGTTTCCTATATCCCCGACTCCTACGTCCTTAAACTTCTATCTCCCCAAAACTCCTATATACCTAAATCGCTATACTCCTCTATGTCCATAAATCTCCACATTCCTACATTTCATTTTATCGAAGATGAAAAAAGTGCCGAGTGGGGAAACGAGAAACGAGGTTGAAGACTAGGTGGGAAGGTAGGTCGTGTGCAGGATCTCCTAGTGCGATCGCTAGTCAATGTCTTTGCGGTCTGTCGGCCAGGTAGACCCTGCAAACCCGAGAAAACCGGGCCGCCAAGAGGTATTTTTAAAACTGCGACTCTACGAACCGCCACTATCTTCGGATTGTAAAAGATAAAAATTCGTTCCGTTGGTTGCATCCATCACCGAGTTCTCGCGTACGGTAACATTCGATTATTTTTTTCGAATAATAAAGAAACGGTTTATTGTTTAATCGACGTACGTTGATTTCGATGATTTGAAGGCGAGCCAGGTATTCGTTGTTCGGATGTCTCGTTACAATACTCGGCCCTACAGGCTATTCAACTTACACGATTTCTGATCGATGTGACGTATTCATGAACGATCGGATATTAATGATATAGGGCGTACTTTAAGTACGTGTACACATTTTAAATTGTTAATATTAAATGTATAAGTAATAAATTTATATGATATATAAATGTTTATAAGTACAATATGTACACGTGTATATGATCTGTTGGAACACTCTGTACATATAGTAACATACTGCATATGGTTATTTTCATCATGGAAGGTGCAACATTCAATGCCACGTTGGTACCATAGGTAACTGATGGTATCGAGTAGCTAAATCAACATAAAATTAAATAATTGCAATTGTAACACATCTTACATGTGGCAAGTTTACCATGAAGAATACTTATACTTAATTTACCACATGGCTACCATTAATTTTCCATATCTAGTTTACTGATTTACTAGTTCACTAGTTTATTAATTTATTAGTTCATAACTACCTCACCACTTAGTTCATAGCTACCTTGCCACTTTATTAGTTCATAACTTACTAATTTATCAGTACATAATTAGTCCACGACAACTACAAGTCTATTCCCTCCATTTACAATGATCCGAATTGACAATCGCAAGCGATGAAAACGATGGAGTCAACCAAGCGAGTAACCACAGAATCCCATAAAAGAAAACGTGGTCTAGAAACGGTCTCCGACCTTCTGAAAGTCACTCCCGATTTTCCATCCCCTCTCCCGCGAGAGTTTAATTTTAATTCCAGCCATTAGCGAACCAAGGGGACATCCGGTTCACGGCTCCCTTAAGGTACACGAGAACCGAATGGAATCTGGTGCGATCGTACGGGAAAGAAGAAAATAGAAGAAAAGCGAAGAGGAAAACAGGGAGACGCGTGGTCCTGTGGGGTGCGAAGTAGAGGGGCGTCTTCGGGGTTTGGCGGTAGTGACAATGCCAGTTCCTCGCGGGCGAGTTTCGAGTTAGACGAGCTGCCAGCCCTGGCTCATCGTGTAGTGCCTAGTGAAACGAGATGACGGGCTCGCGGCTGAGACCCGCGTACTTCGTGGGCCTCTTCCTGGCCCTTCTAGTCGTCGCCTTACAGGGTGAGTAACCCCCACCGCCTCCTATCGTGATCCTGAACCCCGTTGACCTTGCGTACCCCTTTACCGCGTTTCATTTTTTCGGAAATGACGCTCCTACGAATCTTCAAACTTTACGCTAAGCTTCTTCGTCACCTGCGTGACCTTGAGCTGTCTTTTTTCTTCGAGGTTGCCGAAGATTTGCAAATTTTAGTTTAGGTGTTGTTGACCTTGTGTCGATATCCTTTCAATCTTTTTTGGTGCTCGATTTTTTAGAAAGTATTAGTGTAAGCATTGTCTTTGTATTTTCCTAATTTGATAACCTCGTGTGCAACCTTCCTCTTCCGATTCTTCTTTCTTCGGGGAATAAATTACCTTCTAAAGTTTGGTGTAACATTTTATTTTCTACCTTGTTGACCTTGTTTGCATCCCTTCCATTTTGATTCTTTTACATGCTTTTCGAAAAATAGACTGGGTACCTTCCCAAATTTCGAAATAGAGTGATTCAAATTAAGTTGCTTCTCTTCGTACTTCCCTATCTTATTGACATTGCGAACCCCTGTCTCTTCAATTTTCTTTTATTACAACTTTCAGTTTCAAAAAGAGCTTTCCCTGTACAGGGTAACTTCTTCCCTGTCTCGCTGACCTTACATCTTTCCTCTCCCTTTTTTAAAGAATAAGATATTCTAAATTTGGGATGATTGAGTCAAAAGTCTCCACATGCTATACGAGGTGTTTCAGTGAAATTTAATTACAATTATTTTTTGTCATCTTAAAATGTCTGTACAATATAAGTAGCTATGAAACATTAACGTTCGACTTCATATAACGAGATCCTCTCAACTGTCCACGAGTGGGTTTGAAAGTGTTAATAAAGACCTTAATTCAAACTTTCTCTAATAAATGTACTGTATCTCTTCCCCCACATCAGTTTCCAATTTTTGTAGAATCGACAAAATTTCCCGCTTTCGAATTCACCCCGGTATCTCGAATGATCGTTGACTGCAATCGAGATGTAATCAAACGATTTGTTGTCTCGTTATTTTTAACGGAGGATCACGCGACCGTTTTTTCGAATGCACCGCTGTCGGCGTCGTTTGTTTGCGTTAATTGTATAAATAAAGGAGGGTCATGACTCACGGCGAACGTCGATCGGGCACTTGGTGAATTTTCCCCGAGGAACCTCGAGGAGCAGGGTGACGTTCAGGGTGAACATTTGTGCGAAATTGTGAAACATTGTACGAAATTGTGAAAACGGGTAAGAGATTTTAACGGTCGATGATGTGGTTGACGTACTGACGGACGTGTGACGAGTGACGAAGGTCAATGTTACGTAAAGTCAGTCGTCTGCGTCATCGGTTCCTGGCTCGTCGAGCCTCTTCAGCATCGAGCAGACACGTTCGATCAAAACGTATCAGCGTTGCGTCACAAATACGATATCGTTTACAACATTTCTTCGTGTTCGCAACATGGTGAATAGAGTTCAATATTCGTTAATTCGAGGGTCTTTTTTCTTCACAGTCTGATTAAAAATCAGCGTTGCGTCACAAATACGATATCGTTTACATTTCTTCGCGTTCACAATATGGTGAATAGAGTTCAATATTTGTTAACTCGAGGGTCTTTTTTCTTTAGAGTCTGTCACAAATGCAATCGTATTTTTGGTCGGATTAACGAGGCGAAATGGGAACGATCGGGTAAAAAGTTTGATCGCGTATTCAAGGATCCGTTATTTTGGGAATCAATGGAAACCGACTGTCAACAACTCGCAAATAATTACATAAGGACAGATATAAATCCGTGCCAGATTCTGCTCCGAATTCTGTAAACTCACCGGTGAATTCCGTGTAAAGAGATATTTAAAGTCGATCCCTTGCGCCCAATCGTATTATAAAACACCTCGCACCTAACATTTACAAATACTTTATAAAATGCATTCGCATTTTCACATTTAATAGGCGTATTGTGTACAAGTTCTTTTTTGTTACTATGTTGTCAGGGTTTTACAAAATGGCTATATAGAAGGAGGACGCACTATTTGCATTGTCATGTCATTTGTTTTTGAGTGATACTCTTTTAGGATTATAAAGTGGTGAAAATTTAAAATTGAAAATTTAGAGAATTGCTCATTTTTTAAATCTCTAAATGAATCCATGTTTTTGGAACTTTAGAGATAGGAGAATTTAGAATCTCTTAAAAATTTGAGAATTTAGAAAATTGGAACTTTAGGATTTTGCAAAATTTGAGAACTTGAAAAAATGTAGTAATTTAACAATTTTTGAACCTGCAAATTTGAACTTATAGAAATTTGAGCAAACAATGGCAACAGTGAAAGTAATAGTTTTGGAAGTGATTTAATTTTTCTAGCGAAAGGATTAAAGGCTATAGATGCCGTAGAGCGCGGAACAAGCCTTCAGATTCTATCTTTATCCTTGCTGGCTCTGCTTGCCAAACGACAGTCGGCTTACCTCTGCTTCCATTACCCATATCTTGACATTTTCGCGGATTTTGCAGCTGTATAATTTCAACATATTATCTTACAAAATCGCGGGATACCGATATTAACGCGTTTGACGTAGTGCCGGTGCCAAAGATCCGCGTCAACTTTCGTTTGCATTATTAATGACCGCGTCCATCGAAACGAACAACCAATCCCCAGCATGACATCCGAATTTTCCAATTTATCCGACAAATGAATTTCCAATTATTAAATTTCTATTTTCCTTCAAGAATTTACATTTTCCTTTGCGAATTTTTATTTACAATCGCGTATAATCTGATGAACTTTACGATTATATTTGATTAGAAATTTTTTGGGGAAAATTCTTTTAGAGAAACAAAAAATAGCACGATACACTTTTCCCAGACTGACCGTTTTCATCTAGCGGCGAACAAAAGCGTAATGATAAAATCTCGTGCCAAAAAGCACCGGCGGCATCGGTGACGTAACTGTGAAAATTTACGACATGCTACGAAAATCCCTATTTTCTTCGCGCATAGTAACGTGGACCCATTAAATTTCACTTTGAACCTCGTATAACGTGCGACACTCTGCTGCTTTCAATCTCTGCCTTTCGACTTTGACTGACGGCAGATTTAACACAGTAGCGGATAGAAGTTTTTGGACACTATCATGTGTCTGAGGTCATAAATTGCTTGAGGTGGAAGTATCGAATAACCTACCCTTAACCCAATTTTTACTTGAAGTCCCATTCGAGGAAGATGTTGAACACGGTAGGCTTTTTTATGAAGAATAAAGCTTCGGGTTTAGCTGTATTATAGTACAGGAAGTTGGGCTGTGTGAATTTTTGGGTCTAGAGGTCAGGTGATTTAAGGAGTTTGTAGATTTTTAGATGGAGAAATTTTTGAATACAGGAATTTGAGAAGGTGAAGATTTTAGGTTATGTGAATTTAGAAATATTGAAACTTGCGGTATAAGAATTTGAAGATATAGGAATCTAAAGCTTGAAGAATCTACATATCTATAAAAGAAATCTGGAGATATAACAAACAAATTGTAAAACCTAAAAGTTATCAAACTCTCAAATTTCACTTCTATATTATCAGCTACTAAATCCCAGTCACAACAAACTCTACTATGGTGATCATCGGCATGCAGATAGAAATGTGTCATAAATATTTATAAATTTTTCGTTTCTTTTTTCTTTCCTTCATCGCAACGAATAACCGATAAAAATACGTTTCGCTCATCCAATATATAAATATTTTCAAGTGTTGCTCGGCGCAAAGCCGCCTACTCGGCGCTAAACTTAGAAACCGGCCTGGTCCCAGGTACTGCCTAGAAAGATGATATCGACATTTTCATCGACCGAGATTTTACGTCCTGTGTGCCACAAATTGTGACACCAAGATCTAGATCTCGGGACATTATTCAGCCGCGAAAACTTTCCAACAGAAAAATTGTGGAGCCACGACGATGCGTCGTGCGATTCGTCCTTAAACTTGAAACGCAAGTGGTATGTCTTGAATTCGCCTCGTGGACGAGATAACTCGTCCTTCTGGTTAAGAGCGTGTAAAACACATTTGTTCTAAGATCTATTGCTTTCAATTTTGTCGTTGCAATTGTATTGGTAGTAGAATGCGTGGCGATATAACGCGTGGCAATGTAATGTGTAGAAATGCAATATATTGGAATTTAACGAGAGGTGATTCCACACGTGGTAATATAACGCGTAACGATATAACGCGAAGTAATCGTACGCAAGGTGATTCGGCGCGTAGTGATTCCACGCACGGCAATACAACGCGAGGTGATACCACGCACCGTAATTCCACGCGGGGCGATACAACGCGTAGTAATTCCATGCGTGGCAATACAACACGCCGTAATTCCACGCGTGGCGATACAACGCGTAGTAATTCCATGCGTGGCAATACAACACGCCGTAATTCCACGCGTGGCGATACAACGCGTAGTAATTCCATGCGTGGCAATACAACACGCCGTAATTCCACGCGTGGCGATACAACGCGTAGTAATTCCATGCGTGGCAATACAACACGCCGTAATTCCACGCGTGGCGATACAACGCGTAGTAATTCCATGCGTGGCAATACAACACGCCGTAATTCCACGCGTGGCGATACAACGCGTAGTAATTCCATGCGTGGCAATACAACACGCCGTAATTCCACGCGTGGCGATACAACGCGTAGTAATTCCATGCGTGGCAATACAACACGCCGTAATTCCACGCGTGGCGATACAACGCGTAGTAATTCCATGCGTGGCAATA